AAGTAAAACGTCTATATCATAGTGGAAAGGGGCTTGGTTTTGAAAACTGGTTTCCACACCACCTAAATGAATCACAAGCTTCTGTAGGTTGGGTTTTGGGGGTTTTTTGGTTTTTGTTTTTTTCCCCCCAAATAATTTTTTATTCATTGATTTTAACTCCAGAAAGCACTACCTGTGATTATGCAGTTGACTTTGTATCAGACATAAGCCTGAACTGATTGCTCTTTGAACAGCAGCATTCAACTTTAACTTCAAATGTTGGAGTCCTTGTTTACATTATTTGGTAGCTAATAATTAGCTGGTAACCCTTATGATTACAAACCTGAAGCTTATTCTTCAGGTTGGATTTGTCTAGCTTCAGTTCCTAGTCAGTGGATCATGTATCTTTCCTACAGCAAATTCCCTTCACCTATTGAATTTCTATTCCTCAGATAAGCAGTCGTGGTTTGTTCAGAGAAAACTGTTGGCTTTTAAATCTCCTCCCTGTGGTGCAGATATCAGATCTGTATGTGATGGTCCTGCAGCAGAGGCACTGTGTCATACAAGCGTTTTGATATTAAACTGAAAAGCAGTCAGGTTTCATAGTGCTGCTCTAAGAATTCAGAACAAGTAGACATCACAGGAGTGCAGTAAAATGAGAAGTTGCACGAAAGCATATAACGTGAAACAGAAAGGAGAAGGGATTTACACTGGGTCTCATTCAGTGCTGTCAGCAACTAATTGGATGTTCAACAACAATGGAGTTACAGCTGAAGATTGTGGAGGGATCCATCAGACAAGTTTTAGAGGAAACCTAATTTAGACCTGAATGCTGAAATGGAAGAGATCAGGAAAATTGTGCTAACCTTCACGAGAAACTGAATCGCCAGAAACCTCTGAGCAAAAAAGCTGCCAAAAGCCTGTAGAACAGGTATTAACAACTAACTGAAGGGCTTTCCAGTTGGACAACTACTGTCAAAGTGAAGTGAAATAATTGACTACCAGGCTGCACTAAGCAAAAGAAGACACCGTCTGGCAACTTTTTGTTGAGTGGGAGTGTTTTAGAGGCTCATGATGAGTAAGCGTAAGTATACTAAGAATCTCTAATGTGTTGTAAGAGAGCATAAAAACAAATGGTGTCCTGACAGAATGTGGTTAATTGATTGAGAAGCTGAACAAAGTTCTCATTAAGAGGGGTCTTGCAACTGTTTGGGATGGCCCAGGCGTACATTCACAGCAAGCAGAGCTCTGACCACAGGCCAGATATGTACACTCACATCATCTCTGCCTAAGCAGTGGAAGCGATGCCCACACCCAAGGTAGGGGCAGAGGCATCAACCCTCGCCAGCCCAGCCACCAGCCTGCTCTTGATCCTGGGTACAAGCACAGCTGGCTGGCTTGTACCGCCACATCCTGGTGCTGTTTGGATCTGTTCCTTGTAGGCAAGAACCTAGGAAGAACCCTTCTATGCTGAAGCTGCCCCATCATTCTGCAGGGATGATGCCCACTGCTGCCGCAGTTTTAGGGGCAGGAAGAAAAAAAACCTGTCACCTCCCTTTTTTTCCCTGTTTTGCACTTGTGAGACTTTTCCATTAGCCCTGTAAGTCTCTTTCACTAGGTGAGCTAACGTGGCCTATGGAAGACTGCACCACAGAAAGAAATAGGAGGGTGAAGGCAGGAGGGGAGACCTCCCCCTCTTTAGGTGGCTCTCCCCTTGGCAGACCTCCTGGCACCACAGCCTTACTCTGGGCAGAACTATAGCAGTTTCACCCAAAGGCAGGATTTTGCCCTTCACTTCTTTTTTTAATTTCTTGATGCGTGTGACATCCTCCAGTGATGTAAATCCGGCAGGGAAAATAACCTAGAGAAGTGCTGTGCCCACTTACCAATTAGGATTAGTTTAATTTGCATGAGTAACATTATGTAGCCTGTACAACTTTTCTTGTGTCCTCTGCCAGCTCTAAAGCCAATATGGAAACATAAGACCCTTCTGTTTCCAATTTGGCCCCAGTCAGATTTTATCAAGACAGTGAGCAATCTTTCGTAGGGGCATTGATTTTTTGTTCTACCCTCATTTTGCACTGAGGTCATCTTCCAGGATTGTAATAGGATGCCATTGGAGCAGAAGCCTTAATGTCCCCAAGTTGTACCGTACCAACTTCCTTTGTTATCAGAAAAATGACTAACCTTTTCCCTGCCTGACCTTGAGACTATCTGACATTACATTTTTAACTGCATACACTAAAACTGGGATGATTATCTCTTTAAATATGTAACCATGCAACAGGCAAAGGAGTTTCTCTTACATACAAATTAACACGTGGTATTTATTTCTTGCATACTTACCCTTCTGAGCCCATTTAACAAAATGCTAGACAAACTGTTTTCTCAAATGGCCAAACCAGAAGGTGGCTGTGCAAACTGAATAAAAGACTGGAGATTATAATAAAAATGGGAAGAAAACACCATGAAGAGTCATGGCTTTCTGAGGATCAGTACCAGGACTCTTGGTTTTTTTTGTAATGGATGTATAATCCTGTGGCCTATGGAAATGAGGGGGGGAAGTCATAGGGCCAATTAGTAAAATGGGTGGTGGAATTTAGGGAAAGGCTTCAGACAGGAAAGGACTCTGAATAGAAGCACACTCATTGGCTAAAGAAGTGGAAAGTACAGACTATAAAAAGACACGATACGCCTTTTCAGAAATGAAGATAGGAATAATTTATATGAAAATAGTGGAAAAGATCAAGAGGATCTCAGGACACATCAAAAGGTCATAAAAACAAACCAAGGGAAACCCTTTCTTGTTATGAAAGGCCAGGAAAGAGTTGCTACTTTTTTCCTTTTAATCTTTTTAACATTGTGGAAGGGACTTTCCTGTGAAGATAAGTTTATGAGCTCCATCAGTGGAAGCAATCCCCTCAGTTTACGAGCTGGCTGTAAAAGGAGGCTGAGTGCAGGTACTTGGAAGGTGGGGGTGAAGGCCTGTTGCAATGCACGCATATAGTACCGAAATGAGTGAAGAGACATGAGAAGAAAGGTATCCCTGAACCGAACACCACCAGAAGCACATGCAGCAATTTAGACAGAAAAATTTTATACGTAACATAATACCTCTTGCCTTCCTCAGAGGATACCAGGAATACAGGGGTAAAGGCAGAGGAAAAAAAAAAAACACACACCCCAAAAAACATTAAGGAAAAGAAGAATCTATCTATATAATAATTCTTCCTGACACAGCCAGGGATAAACCAATGGTAAGTTTGGGCTTTATGAAGGCATATCCCTCTCAGCAGGACCTTGAGTTTCCACTCCACCTTCCTCGGAAGATGAGGCAGGGCTGGGTTAGGATAACATGGGTGTGCCTGATGGATCCATTTCCAGGGCCTGCGAGCCAGCACAATCCTTCCCGATTTCTCTGTTCAGAGACGTAGCACATATAAAGAATTCTTTAATGATTTCTAAAGTGGTTTAATTGAATTTTCTAAATGCTAAGTCATATCATTATTTATACAGTTAATTCTGTCCTTCCTTCAGTCCCTGAAGCCACAAAAAGTAACTGTGTTCACTGGTGTCTAATTGTGGTAAAATGTCAAGAGTTCTTCCCCTGCCTCCCCTCCCCCACTCCCTCTCCTCAGAATGAGGATTTCTGAATTTCTACACCAACTATTGCACTTGAATAAAAACAAATACATACTTTGAGTAATCCCATTGCCCCCGCGCCCCCCCCACCCCGTAAAACCAGCATAACAAATACTGCAAATGAAAAGAAAATCTGTCATGACAATTATTTTCAAAGTAAGCAACACTGAACATCAAATAACTGGAGACTTTTTTTTTTTTTTTTTTTTTTCATTTAATGGCGAGTGGAGAAGAATTCTGGTTGTGGTGGTTTGGTTTGGTTTTTGTTTTTTTTTTATTAAAGATCTTGCTTTACATCATGGCTGAAAGCCAAGTAGATTTCAGGGAATTTTTTTTTGCAGTTCTCAAATCAAGCAAAATAAATTCCAGTAAGAAAACAAAACCAACCCTGTCTCCTAGTAGTGGTACTGTATGCTAATACATTATATTCAGGAATGTTTGTCAAGAGAGTCTGCACAGTGTTTGTATATTTACAGAAGTTTAACTCCCTGCTCCCTCATGTTTCTTCCACATTCCTTAATCTGACACAAGAAAGAGAAATGCACTGTACCCAGAGTCCCACCACCTGTCTGCTTAGAGCACCCGAAGAGTTCAGTGCTATCAAGGACTAACCTAAATGTTGCCTTTCCGTCTACTCCTTTCCCCTTGCAGGCTGCAGGACTTGAAGCGAGTGCTTTGGTCTGCAACACACCCACCAGTTACTTGCTTCTTTACTCCTCTACATAGTGGTCCGGAGATCCTGTCATTCAATTCAGTTCATCTTTGGAAGTCTTACGCCACATTTATCTGTTTCCTGAGTGTGATAAGGAACAGTGCCAAAATAGAACAACTGCTAACCGGTCCATAGTCCTCACCGGTCTAATTTACAAACAATAAAGTCTCTGTGCAAAGGGTTACTAGCAGAAGCAACAAATTTTGCTGGTCCAGAAAACTAGAAACCCCATATACAGATACAATTAATTTAGAATCAAGAACTCTTAATACATATGACTACATAATTTGGCTTATCATTCTAATTGGATTCAGAAAGAAAATTAACTTAGTCTAAGAGGGCTGACACACATTATGGCGCACTCTCTTCTGATCTTCTTCTGCACTCTGGTCTAGTAAAAAGCACACCTGACACTTGCAGTTGCTTGGATCCCTCCCTGAGCATCATACCATCTTTTGCAGGTGTGGGTTTGTGAAGTGGAAAACCAGTTGGATTAAGGCAGAAGACTGACATAAGCGAGCAGTTTGTCACAGACATAGTCAATTAGACACAATCTGATTGAACAGGCAACTGACTGCCAACAAGTATGTATTTATGTATTTACACCTTAAAGTCCAAGAGTCTTTGTAGCCTTCTCCATCCAGTCTGCACATTTAAACTGACAAAAAAATAATTCGTATACACACAGCACTTAAAAAACAGGGAGGGAAAGAAAAAAAAAAAGAAAGCAGCCAGACCAGCAGCTTCATCTTGGTATAATCATCCTTTCTATGGCACATATGATATGATCCCAGTTTTTACAAAATATTGCCAGCAGCGTCACTGCAAAAAAAGTGCAGATGATATGAAAACGGCTCTTCATCATAGGAGCAATGAACTTTGCAATTGTAGAAACACACACTAAGATGACAGTCATGAAGGCCAGGATAACATTTATACATTTCCCCAGGAGCACTTTGGCATTAACCGTTTCGGACTGCTGTGCTTGCTGTTCTTGCTGATGGAGCTCCAGCTTTGAAACCCGGGTCTGGCATGATTCCAAGGCTTCCTGGAGACAGAAAACAAGAATTAGGGCAGCTCTATTTCCATATACCACTTTTCCTGTTTTAGCTGCAGAGCCATCCATCAGCTAGATTAGAAGTGTAATTTATTATAGACTCCTAAAACTTGAATGAACCATTAACTTTTTAAAGATAAATGCACTTAACATATCTGCATGTGTGTATCACTGCCTGCTCAGGTGTAATCAAGTGTGACAGCACTGTCCAAAATGTAGTTCATGCTTGAGAAAAAGTATCATAACTCTTAATGTTCATGACAGATAATGTTTCCTGCATATACTGATGAGATAAAGTACTGGTAAAGCTGTTGCCATGGCAACTTTCACTGCATTAAAACAGCATCAAAATTTCTTTGTACACATTATAGAAAACATTAGGGTAGTACAGGCTTGCTCCGATACTAATTAAATCTACTGTGCAACGTGTACAAATTGGTTTACACCACCTCTCCAGTCTATGTTATTTTTTCTCTTAAAGCCACCCATTGTACAGTGCTGGGATGGAGTTCTCAGTAAGAGATTGCCCAATCCCTCTGTCAGGGTGATAATCCATACCTCAAGTGGGCAGCGTGCAGCAGAGATAGCGGAGAAATCTGTGGTGATGCTTTTATGGGATTCTCAGACTGACAACTTTCCTTGCACTGGCAGGGGTGTTCACCTGATCACACCATGAGCTGATTTAGCCCAATCCTCCATGTAAAAACACACACACGCAAAAGCACTGCACACAGAGTTACTAGCTTTCTTTGGCTAGGCCAGTTCTCTCTTGTTTCAGCAAGTTGAACTGGCTTACCATGCCAGGCACCAAAGTCAGCACAAAGCACGTGCACAGCACCTTACAAAAGGCTGCTTCCTTTCACTGTTCCAGGAATTAGTAATAATACGTAGAAGACAGTTCCTAATAGGTGGCACAAAGTCCTTTAAGATTCACGTACACTCTCTGCTACATACTAAAGAATTTTCCTGGTCCTTCTCCCACTGTGATCGTAAACTATTCTCAAACCATCTCGTGCTGCTTTAGAGAAAGTCCAGCTGCAGAAGTCCGATACCTGCAGTTCTGCATTGAGAGGCTGAGCAGGTGTTTTAAAAACCATCTGCCCATTCCTTGGGGACAGAGCGCTCCGAAGTTAGGTTGTTATTTAAAATATCCACAACTTTAATGCTTTTACTCTATTTTAGCTTATAGACAGGTTTAAACAGGCCTAACTGTACAGAGATAACAGAAACAAGGCTGTATCAACATAGCACTTCAATTAATTTTAAAAGTCTGTGACACCCCTCCAGGCTTCTGCTTATGAGTTAGCAAACATTTCACAGCCCTTCTGCTGGAGAACTCTGGTCTCAGTTTTCACATGCTCAAGATACCTCCACAGAAAGAAGTCCTGTACAAGAGACCTCCTCTTCTTTAAAACCTACAAAGGAACCTATGATATGTTTAGACTCTGTACCATCCCATTCCCACGGGGTTCCTGTCTCCCACAGCAATCAGGAAACAGGGTGACCATCCTGCTGCCTGCACTCTCAACATTTAGGAATGTGGGCACAAGGGTGCACAGGACAGGGTTTTTTTACCATCTGAACCAATACAAAGACAGGTTTTAAGCATTCCTCAGCTGTTAGTGAATTTAAACCCAAGGTAAGGCAAAACATTTTCACCGTTTTTCACTGCTTGCTCAGACTTTGAATAGAAATATTATGCAATATATAAATGCTTATATTGTATATAAATATTCAAATATGTAACTACATGCAGTCAGGACAAACTTACAGACATTATAGTTGGCTTTTGACTGAAGCCAGACATGACTACAACTGATTACTTGGAGATGAACACACTCTACAGCTTTGACTACCGAGGTCATTGTCACCATAGAGTAAAACTCTTAAGTTATTGCTGGCAAATCTACAAGTCTATTTATCAATTATCTCTCTCATTTTTTATCTTAAATTCAATTTATAATAAATCTTGCCAGTGATATGGTTACATATTGGAGCAAGTCTGAGAGGTGTGTGTTAGGACATTGTCAAAAGTGGCATTTTACACAGTACAAGGAGATTCAATTCTTTCCTCCTCCAGTGCAGGAAATCAAAAAAGGCCATTCTTCATCCATAAGTCTGCCTAGGCTGTATCATCAATTCCAGAAGAAAAAAATTCTGAATCCACTGAAAGAAATGAAGACTGTCACCAATTTAAATGTGCTGGATCTTAGACAAAACATGGGCTTAAATCTTTCCCCACAATCCTTATATACAAAGACGTAGAAAGATGCAAGTGTTTTACAGTAAGAGATGTCTACAAGATGTTAGAAGTTTATAAATAGAAAAAAAAGAAAGAAAAAAAAGTACCTGAACATCTCGTGATCGCTCATACGCCTGATATGCCACTTTCTCCTCTATGCTGGCTAGCTCTTGTTTCAAGTTTGCTGTCTCATGTTGATGAAGATCAGTGAGATCATTTAACTGGTCTTCCAATCTTTCATATCTTATCAGGAAAAAAGGTCTAAATTTAGTGCATTCTATTCAAGTAATGCTAAATCATGAAAACAATTACACATTTTAAAAGGTAACTTCTCGGTGTACTATGAATTCATCTGCCTGGCATTACAGAGCACAGAGAAATCGGTAACAACTTTGGAAACTCTCCATAAGCATTTATTCAGCAAACTGAAAGCCTTTTTTGAGCATTCCTTGCTGGCAGTAGGTGTTAAAAAGCAAATATTTGTACATCATTGGCAAATTATACGAACTATAAACAGTGGCTAAGGGTATCCAACTCACATTTTTCCGTTCCTCACTTTTCATTTAGACAAGAAGATATAGTTTCCGAAGTAAGCTTGAGCCAGTTAACAGCTCACCAGTAGTGAAAGGAAAAATATATTCCCTGGATTCCCTCTCAAACACAACTGCAAGGTCCTGCCATTCACATACTGCCTGTTCTGGCATGTCTCCGCATTTCAACTATACCATCAGAAAACTCAATTTTTTTTTGGCGAGTTTATAACTTGGTTTAACATACAAACAGGCCAACCCTGCAGTCAGCACAAAAATGACAGAGGCAAAATTGTCTAGCTGTGGAAATGGTGGCAGGAGGCTTGAGATCTTAATGGCAGTGAGCTGTCAGAAAAGGCTGCTCTGCCTCCTCCTGAAACAAAGTCATGAGTGCAGTAAGCCATTTGCTCTGTTCTTTCCTCCCCCATGTTACCAACCTGATATCCAGCCTTCCCTTGTATTTCAAGAAATGTAAAGAAGGGAAACATTAAATATTGCAATTCATACTGAGTTTTTCCCCACTAGCATAGTAAAGACTTCAAGATTCAACACTTACTTGAATAAGCGATATGACAAATGGGATATAGGTACAGCAGGTGCAAGCCCTCTGTAGAACATATCTCATTTCCCACAGTGGATGATAAAGGAATTAATTGCTAAGTAACAAATGCAACAGGAAGTTGTGCTACAGCACTTAAAATTACATTTCACAGCCCTGCATTACACCAGGGTACAAAGTGACCTTCCCTCCACAAGATAGCAATGTGTCTGAGATGTATTTGGACAAGGTACTCAGGACTAAAGGGTATATTTATCAGCTGTAAGTCAGCTCTGCTGCACTGTAGACTGATTAGCATTTTCAAGTCACAATAGATCAGAATTCTTCCACCGGTTACAAAGTAATTGGCATCATCTATACGCAGTATTCACATAATACAATATGCCAGTAAGATGTCAGATGAGAGAATTTTCTGACACGCCTTCGACAAAAGGCAAAGAACTACCACATCATTTGATGGGAAATAGTAACGTTCTACGTGTATTTTCAGTTATTGGAAGGAGTGGAACATTTTGGGACCAGATACCGATTGGAATTATTTTTTCCTCTTCGTTCCAAAATATCACACATGCAAGCACACACCCACATTTACAGTTTCCAAACAGCTTCTATATCCATTCAAAAGTCATTTCAAGAGAATAGTTTAAAAAAAAATACCTATATCTTTCCTCTTGTAACATCTGAGAAATAAAGCCATAGTCTCTTTTAAATTGTGTTTTTAAATTCTCAATATCATCAGCTAATTGGGACTGTGTCTCCTTGATTTCCCTTAGTTCCTCCAAAATCATGGAAAGCTTTCCTTGACTGTCGAGGGTAGTTGCCACAGCAGGACCAAAGGAAGTATTCCCATTACTATCTGCTGAGCCAGAGGTCCCACTTGAGCATTCATCATCACTAACATATTTTGGTTTGGCAACAATGGTGGCACTGCCCCCATAAGTTCTAGAACTTGTTTCCGGCCGAAACTCATCCAAAGTATTTTTGAGATGGGCAATGTTGTCTGCGCTACCAAATTTGTTTCGGATCAGGTTTGCAAACTCCCTAGATTTGCTGAAAACAAAGACAGGTGGTGTCAAGGATACACCTGGCACACCCGACTTGCTACTCTCTGTTGCATGCCCAGAGGTACGAGGCTTTCCATGCTGAATATCTTTCAAGTTATCTTTGGAAGTATCCTTAGCAGTTTTGGAAGATCCATTTTGTTCAATATCCTTGAGCTTCTTGTGATACTGTTCCAATTTCTTCTGCAGCTGGGCAATGGAGTGGGCAGATTTCTGGTTCTTTTTCTCAAAGACTTGTTTAATGCGCCCAGCCTGTTGCTTGTCTGCACTGTTTACCAGTTTTAAATATTCAGCCACGTTTCCATCTCGAGCCGTTTGTTCAACTTTAATTTGTTCTGTAACCTTGAGGATTTTCTGTTTCAAGCTATCTGCACTGAGTTTGACTTTGTGAAACTCCAGGACCCCATCTGGTACATCAAAGTTGAGATTAGTGTCAGAGCCTCCACGGCGAATGTTAAGTGGTAAACTCAGGGTATTCATGTCATGTCTTTCCACCTGGGGAGAGAGAAAAGAGAAAAATGGAATCTGAATGTTACTTTTTTAAATCCAACTTTCAGTTTCCTTTTCTGCATGTAATTACAGCAAGTACACAATATGAAGTAGATTGTAATAGCAAAATATAAGGCACTTTTCTTTGAAATTAAGAAGCATTTTTCTCGACTTCCCTAGGTGGATAAACAGCCCAAGGAACTGCCCGTGTCTATTAAAAAAGCAGCAGGATTAATTAGAGTGAAAATGATTCAAGTATATAGTTTTTCAGAATCACTTACAGTTATTTAAAAAATCAGAACGCCTTGTTAGAAAAAGTTCCTAACATGTATTCTTTATTATTAAGAGTTTCAAAGCGATCGCGACTGATAATTACTCAGTCTTTCTCTTAGAAATGGTCAAACACTGATAGAGCTGTAAACAGGTTTTTCCCCTCTACAGCAGTGTTATACTGATCAGTATATTTTACCAGGTTAAGTCCTTTTTTGATACGTGCTCCTCCCATTCAAATTTGTCACACAATTGAAAGTTTTTGCACAATGAGCTGAAAGTTCCTGGAAATTTACTGCGTGCTTCAGCGGGAAGCAGCTGCTAGTTTTTAGGGCAGAGAGCAGAGAGGAAGAATTGGCCTGCATTTAACTTTCCATGCTTGATGAAGATGCTTAATGACTTGATCTGCTATGGTTAATTCTGTTTCAATAGCAAATTCACTGAGTGGGATTTACAGAAAGAAACTCTGGAAAGAAAAATGTATTCCCTCAAGTATAGGTCCATACACCTTAACAATGCTCTCAGGCAATGTAACAAAACCAATTAGGCAATGTGGTCACAGTGTACATGCAACAGATTATTCATCTTTCTCAACAGAAAGGCAAGATGGTCTAATATGAAATGTAAAAGTATTTCCTCATATAAAGTCAAAACTACGGGGGAGGCATGCGACAAGAATGATCTAACCCAAACGGCTTCATCCCTATTACCATCTCGTGCTAGCCTCTGTGACAAATGTACATTTCATTAAAGCTGCCACAACACCGTATCTATAGAGACTGCTTAACAAACACTCCAGACAGCGGGTTTTCAGAGCTTTAACAGCAGAGGGAACTAATACAATTGCTCAGGTGAGACCACTGCAGAGTCAAGGCAGAAGGTGTACGAAAGTATATTTTAAAGATGTACTTGTGAAATGCTTTAACTACTCTTTGCTTCAAAATGCCTGGAGACACTATGTTCAAAGTTTGATTTCCAACTACAGTATTTATTATTGTCTGTCATACTGAAGATCGTGCAGCAAGACCTATGCACACGTACATGGCCAGTGATTACCATTTGATCTTTCTTGACTAAAAAACCATAAAACCATCATTAAGTATTGCTGTAAGGTTTGTTTTCCCATCCTTGTACAGTTTTGGTGGTCCTTCTGGAAATTCTCTCCAGCATTCCTGTATTGCCCTTAAAATACAGGCTCAGGAACCAGACATGATGTCCTGCTGTTAATGACATGCATCATGCACAGGTTGATCAGGAGAACTATTCTCACCCTGTGTCTATCATGATGGGTTACAAATACAGAGGGGGTAATACAGCCATAAAATTGGATCTGTACATGACCATTTCACAGACAAGATCATCTTCCACCTTATATTCTTATCCTTATATTACGGATGATTACAGTACTTTTCTTCCTTTTTCTTTTGCTACTGCACTGCTCAGGGTGCAAACCAGGTAACATAAAAGTTCACATTCACCAACCTCTTAGAGAAATGGACACTTGAAAAATGCAAACTGAAGAGTTGACAATTTGTTCTGGAGAATATTGGTATTGGTGACCTTTAAGACTTTGACTCTATTCCAAGGATTAAACCAGGGCTGTGGCCTAAGAGCTCTGCACTTTACCAGTTTGTTAAAAATAATTTGTATTGAGCTATATGCCTAATTAATAAATATAGCTTGCACCTATTTTTAAAAGTGTATAAAAATTGTATATGATTTAATATCATCAGTCATATGTCCTTCACAGAAAATCCACTTTATTGATGAGATCTCACTTTAGCATTTGCACATGACACAAATGGATGGCATTCTATATTCAGGGTGATACCTAATTTAAAGAGTGACAAAAATCACAAGTGTCAAAATGAACTTCCATTTTTATTGATTTTTTTTTTAATTGAACAAGTCTTAGAAATATAAGTAATAGAAAAATACAGCTTTTACAGACCACTTTTTAAAGTTTAACACTCATAATACTGTTGTAGCCAAAATATGCATTTAATATAAGCAAAAATAGTTTGACATAGGACACTTGTATCTTTCCAAAGGCTCATACAGCAAAGAAAAGCAATCAAGGCAAATAGCTGAAAAGCATAGATACTAGATCTGTACCCCATATTGCAAATATTTCTTTAAATGGATTTACTGCGTCTGGACAAATTCATTAAAGAGAAAAAGCTCAGTATAAAACAATAGTTTCCTGAAACAACCTAAGACATTTCTGAATAAGCTTTAGCACAAAATTATACTGTAATAAATCATCGAATTGCATATACATGCAAGACAGATCCACCACTGATGTCACTCAGGACAAGATGTACATACTTCCAAGAACGGGTGGGTCTATCTCTAACCTTTACACAGTATTAAGTGTTTACTTCCTTAGTACAAAATAGTTTAAAAATATATTGTAATAATTGGATACAAGCCCAAACCAGAGCCTTTCTGCCTTATGTCCTCTCCCTCACAGCAGTCTCTAGCAGTCAGCAAGGTCTATCATCACCACGCACCCCCTGCCTTCCTGGAACTTCAAGGTCACAACAGCAATAGAGGTAAAAAGAACAATAGCATCAAGGGAATATATCAGCTGAAAGCTGAATTGCTTTTGGAGTTGAGGAAATCAGGCAGCATGGCACAAATCTACTTCTGAAATGAGTAAAATTAATCATAGAATCAGTTTAAATTCAGTGGAGTTTAGAAAAGAATTGTGCCCAAATTCCCAAAGCACTGCTAGAAGTAGGTTTTTAGCTTACTGGACTGAGAGCTCACCAAGGATGCAGAAGAGTCATATCCAAGACATTCCTCTGTCTGAGTATATTTGGCCAAAACGGCAGGTGTCTTCTCACCATCATGCTACAAGTTTGGATCAAGCTACAGAGGCTCTCGAAATCTTCTGTTGATGTAATACACTTTTTTTGATGTTTTTGTTTGTTTGTTGGGTGGGTGGGTTAGTCGTTTTTGTGGGGGCTTTGTTGGGTTTTGTTTGTTTGTTGGGTGGGTTAGTTGTTTTTGTGGGGGCTTTGTTGGGTTTTGTTTGTTTGTTTTGAGGTTTTGTTTTGTCTAAACAAGCAGCCTATCACCTGTCATCTATATTGACAATGCAGAACAGTTTTGCAAAATCCATTTGTGATTGCTTTACAGCTTAACACTATTGTTACCCCAAGACCCCAGAAATCCAACTTCAAATCCTATCCCAAATCCTCTTTGCTGCAACAGTCATCTTGAAATGAGAAGAATTACCCTCTGCATACATTCCTGAAGCACTGTAAACATAGCTTGCACTTCCTGCTGTATTGAACACCCAGTTCTTTATACCGAGCCGAAGACTGTCAGTAGGAGCCTGGGATGTTACCTCATGCCCACAGGGACTGGCGCACTCCCCTGTGATGCGGGCTGAAATCCCCCCACATGCAGGAGACTGAAAGCACATCCCCCTCAAACTACGTGACTGCTCTTCCAGCTATGCTATAGGAAGAGATGATGAATGCCATCCATGCCATAGTTCTTTCTGTGACTCTCGGGTCACCAGCACTTGATAAGGGTACCAAGCTGTTAATAATACAGAAGTTGCTGAGAAATAGAGATGCTTTTTAAGATTTTCATTGTGGTTACCAAAAGAAAACAAAAAAATATGTACACACACAGTGGTGGCCCCAATAGCCAAAACAACCTACCTGGGACTAGCAGTATTTTTGGAAGTGAGAAGCACTTACAGAAAAATGAATGGAATCATCATACATCTCTCCTATCACCGTAACAATTAATAGGGGGTTAAGGATTAGCAATAGATGAGACGAAGCAGTCCCAAGACAAGTGGTAACACAAGGAAAGCGATGCACCAGCCCAGAGTCTGAGGAAATACCAGAGACATGTCCAGAATCTGGCTTCTAGGAAAAACAGGGAAAAAACAATTTGCACATGGTAACTGAGGGAGTCATAGTTGGTGTTAGCTTGAAAGAAGAAATCTGGGGCTTGGAGAGACCACTGCATTTTATGGAGCAGTTCATATATGCACTTTGCTACAACCCAGTTGAGAACTGATTGTAATGTTTGTGCTGCTCAAACACTAGCTTTTAAAAACAGTGATTTAGGGGTGCAGCAATTCAGGCTCCTTGCCTGCATCAGAGCCAGACATCACAGATGACTAGATAGGTACCTCTCACAGGTAAAGCAACTTCATTCTGCCCCAACCCTCCTTTTTCCAAGGAGCCAAGCAGATCCCTGGCTGCATGCCCAAGCTGTTCATGCAGCCTATCCCAAGCTAAACTCCAGAGCTTCAAAAAGGATAGCAGAATAACTGCTTGGTACAATGAACACAGGTGCACTGCTAGGAACTCTTCATTACACACGAATTGGCAGGTATACTTTATGTCTTAAATGGTAAGTGGAAGACTGGGCAAAAGGCAACCTGCCATTCATAAAGAGGCATTCAGAGCACAACAGTGCTTTGAAAACCCAATCATAGAAGCAAGAATAGGGATTTTATTGGCATCACAATGATCCACGTGTTTTCTCACTTACCATCTGCAAAAGCAGCCCAAAGTTCAGGTTTGCAGGCCATGCTAACAGAGCCCAGAGTACAAAAGGACCCATGTGCCCAAATGCCATAGGTAAGACTGTTGGAAAGAGGTTACATATGGACAGGAATGGATGGGTGAGAACATCATGCTATGTAAATTGGCCATTATATCCTCTGGTTGCAAAATGAAAAGCAGACATAGAAGGTT